CCGTGTCCCTCGGGGTGTCCTGTGGGAGGTGTTGCGGGAGTATGGGGTGTCTGGCCCATTACTACGGGCCATTCGATCCCTATACAACCGTTGCAAGAGCTTGGTTCGCATTGCCGGCAATAAGTCGGACTCGTTCCCGGTGGGTGATGGGCTCCGCCAGGGCTGCCCTTTGTCTCCGGTTCTGTTCATAATTTTTATGGACAGGATTTCTAGGCGCAGCCAAGTGGCGGAGGGCTTTCGCTTTGGTGGCTTCAGAATCTCATCTCTGATTTTTGCAGATGATGTGGTTCTGTTGGCTTCATCGGATGAGGGCCTCCAGCTCGCACTGGAACGGTTCGCAGCCGAGTGTGAAGCAGCGGGAATGAGAATCAGCACCTCCAAATCTGAGGCCATGGTTCTCAGCCGGAAAAGGGTGGAGTGCCCACTCCGGGTCGGGGATGAGTTCCTGCCCCAAGTGGAGGAGTTCAAGTATCTCGGGGTCTTGTTCGCGAGTGATGGAAGAAGGGAGCCGGAGATCGACAGACTGATTGGGGCTGCAGCTGCAGTAATGCAGACGCTGCACCGGTCCGTCGTGGTGAAGAGGGAGCTGAGTGTAAAAGCGAAGCTCTCAATTTACCAGTCGATCTACGTCCCTACCCTCACCTATGGCCACGAGCTGTGGGTAGTGACCGAAAGAACGAGATCGCGGATACAAGCGGCAGAAATGAGCTTCCTCCGAAGGGTGGCTGGCCTCTCCCTTAGAGATAGGGTGAGAAGTTTGGCCATCCGGGAGGGGCTCAGAGTAGAGCCGCTGCTGCTCCACATCGAAAGGAGCCAGCTGAGGTGGTTCGGGCATCTGACAAGGATGCCCCCTGGGCGCCTCCTGGGTGAGGTGTTCCAGGCATGTCCCACCGGGAGGAGGCCCTGGGGCAGACCCAGGACACGCTGGAGAGATTATATCTCTCGGCTGGCCTGGGAACGCCTTGGTATTCCCCCGGATAAGCTGGAGGAGGTGGCTGGGGAGAGGGAGGTCTGGGCCTCTTTGCTTAGGCTGCTGCCCCCGCGACCCAGCCTCGGATAAAGCGGATGAAGATGGATGGATGGATAGTGTTAACATACTACACAAGTCAATGACTAGATTTTTTTACATTTTCATTGTAAGTGGGCTAAAGCAGTTAATTAAAAGTAGTCTAACATAAACATAAATGTAAATGCTGTAATTTGATTATTTTAATAAACCATGTAACTTGGATGGATTAGATGGTGGCGTGACCACAGTGCACACGTCTGATGTTGCTCACAGTGGTCCAAGGGATCGCTCAGGGAGTTTGTGTGTTCGCTCAGACACATTAAAAATTAGAGGGACGATTGATGTTTAGTCTATTCTGTAAATATATTCTTTTTAAACTTGTTTTTAATCAGACTTACCATCCTATTTAATATTACTGTCAATTACGTATGCTCACTATAGCAACAATGTCAAATCCAGTTTTAAAAGCAGCAACAACAACAACAAGATTCCAGACTCAAAGCTCCAAAAGAGTAGTTTGAATGGGTGGGTGGCATCATAGTGTCTACATGCACTAGTGTGCATGACTCAAACGATTTTGGCACCACAAATATAACTGTTGATGCATATCTTTATTATCATGCTTAACTCTTGTGCATTTTCTCCTTCTGCCTTCCCATGTCCTTCTGTTCTACCTCCAGCTCCCATCTGCTGCTTATTCCCTTGGTTTTACTGTGGCTTCATCACAGTAAAGACAGCCCCCTTTGAACCCTATAAAGGCAACCAGCATCAGGCTTATTGTAAAACACAATCATAAGGTAAATGTTTATCCCCTCTCTGCCACTCTAAACTCCCCTAATGAGCCTGCTGGAGGGGTTTCACCTCACAGCTCAAATAGAGGCAGAGAAAACAGCACATTCAACTCGGATTAGGACTGCATAGGAGACGCCGCTAAAGTCTAATCGGGAAAACAGTAACGAGCAATAACAAAGTTTTAAAAAAAAAAAGAAACGAAAGAAAGAAAACTAATAAAAAGAAAGTAGGAAAAAAACAAGCAATATAATCACTAAAGTGCCAAACAAGCTCTACAACATAAAGCATTAATGACTGAAGAGTTAAATATGAAGCAGAAGTTCAGGAGCCACTCTTGGGAGAATACATTATGATTGGCTGGGAAGGATGAGCCCTCCGACCCTGCTCTTCCTGCCTGTTCTGACCTGCCCCATTATCCATCAGCGACCCCACTATTATACCTACTGTCGGTACACGGCGCCACGCTGAACCACACCACCCTGCGCTGCGAGCGAGCCATCACTCTCACCCCTGAACAGCAACGCGAGCCCACACGCAGAGAAAGAGAAAGTACAGCGTAATAGTAAGCAGGTAGTTAGAGGTCAGAGGTGCTGCGCAATCGGGACAGCAGTTCCACTCCTGGCAGCCAGAGCGGAACTCTGAGAGGGACCTGGAAGTAGATATGATGACCTTTTGTACAGAGGACCCCAAAATATACCCTCTTATCAAAATGACCTTAACATAGGAGCATGGGAAGGTAAGCACAGCCCATCCATCATCTTAAAGATTAATCCTCCTCTCTATTCTTCTCCTGAATCTATTAATAATGTCGCCAGAGGGGGGAATTTGCAGCAAAGATTTATTCTGATATTGTGACTTTTATTCATTAGCCTATAACAAGGGGGATTCCTTGAAAAGGAAATATAGAGTGGGCTTAGGGAATGCTAATTCTCCATTCCAGCTCTATTTGAACTATACCAACCCCTATTAACTCAGTCATTAATTTTGCTGACAATCTGCATATGCTACATGCCAATGTACAACCAAAAAAGAAGGAAGATTAGCATTTATGGCACATAGGTCACAGCTGTTTATTCTTTAAAAGCAATCCTGGGCAGCGTCCATTTGTTAATTTACTAACATGGATAACTCTGTGGCAGGTGTGAAGCTTTAAAAAAAAATCAATTTGACAACAAAATCTGGTGCTTGGATCAGAGCTTTTCCTCACTCATTTAGTCAAAGTACTGGATTTCACAGAGTGGAGCAGCACTGACAGCCCCAGGGGCATACTTCAATTAGAGACTTTGGTGAGTTTAAACACTGCAGATCTACTCCCACTCAAAGGCATTTGTCTCCCTCCCCCTCGCTTTTCCTCTCTCTCCCTCGTTTCCTCCTTCTCTCTTCATATCTACGCTGAGCACCCACTCTCCGTCTTCTTCAAGTCCTGCTCTCTGTAATCAACTCAGTGCTAATGGCTTATTCTTTCTGCTCCAGCACCCACATTTCACTTGTTTATTTTCCCACACTCGTAAATCTGGGGACATGTCACAAGCGCAGCGATATTAGAGCAATAATCTCAGGTAATTATCAGATGCCCTCTCACTTTTTCTCCCTCTCCCTCTCTCCATTTAACACTCTCTCTACTGCTTTAAAGAGAGACTCATTCAGAAGTTTATTTGACTGCTCCTGTGAAATGTGGAAGCGGGGTTTGAAGCTTTAAAGCAGCGGTCCCCAACCTTTTTTGCGCCACGGACCGGTTTATGCCCGACATTATTTTCACGGACCGGCCTTTAAGGTGTCGCGGATAAATACAACAAAATAAAACTATTACCGGTACCGAAAAAAAGAAGATTTATTCATAACACGTGAAAAAACCCAGGAAAACCGAGTTAACGATAAAAACAATAACAAAATAACGCTGAAAACCGATAAAAACCCTGAAAACCATACATTTCACACCCGAGCCTCAACTCTCGCGGCCCGGTACCAAACGACTCACGGACCGGTACCGGTCCGAGGCCCGGGGGTTGGGGACCGCTGCTTTAAAGCACACTCTTATAAAATAAAAGGCCTCTATTTGTAGCAGAGCCCTAAACAGGTAGGTTATGCAGTAATCTAAATTATAAATGTTATGCTTGTCCCGTATTTGTTTGAGCTTTATAATCTAAAACATCCAGTTAACACAAACACTCTTTAAACTATTATGTCACAAAAACAGTACATTCCACAAACCACAGCAAAAAGTAACCCATGGTTCAAGACCGGGAGGCGGCTCATATCCGCGGGATACGTGGGGCTGTGTCAGGAAGGACATCAGAGGTAAAAATTTGTGCCAAATCAAACATGTGGGTCCAGCCACTGAGGCAATCTCTTAAGAATAAGGGAAGAGCCAAAATAAGTTTTATAGTCAACGAAAAATTTCAATGTTTTATTTTCTTTAAATATGTTTCAGTGTTATTATTGTATGAACTCCACAGAAAATGACAACATGTATTATTGAACATCATCCTGCTGCTCCCTGCCACACATTGTGCAAAATTGTACATTTATTAAGTTATTTATATTTTACTATATCTTAGTACTTTAAAAAAAAATAATTTTAGTATTTGTTCTAGTTATTTCTACTGTTTTATCTACTGTTTAGTCATATTCTGCATATACCGAGACCCAAAAAAATTGCTTTGCTTATATCACATCAAATGTTTTATAAAAATTAAGCTCAGTCTGAAAATGTAGTGTCGGTGTAACAACAATAGGTTTTTTGGTTTGGGACCATTTTTTTTCCACGGACAAGCCCTTTTTGGTGTGCTTCGGACTGTTTTGATCCCCATCCCGGGAAGCCTGAAATATCAAGTGTACATGGCCAAGATACTGAAGCTGAAGTTGTATCCATTGCGGAGGGAGTGCAACTGCGATTTGTGTGTGAATGGGTGAGAATTTGGTTTAAATTTGGTAAAAAAGTGCTTTAAGTGATTGGTAAGGCCAGAAAAGCACTACAGAAATCCCAGTCCATGTATGCTCACTAATACACGAGTGTGGCTCACTGATGTTTAACAGCTTATTCTGTCTAAACCTCAATAAGGAAGTTACTATAAGTCGGTTTATTGTTGGCGTCTTTTTATAGGATTTGTTTTTGTTTGAGAAAGCTGTTGTAACTTAACCACACTTTCCAGCTTTTAGAGCTCCAAGAAAACAGGGGATTACTTAGACTGTCACTTACCCACTCTTCCTGAATGAGGCTCACCGCCTTGTTGGCACGGGTCAGGTTTCGACAAGCCAGGATCACATGGGCGCCATGAAGAGCAAAAGACCTGGCTGTCTCAAAGCCTGAGATGGGAGACAGACGGACAGGAAGACAGGGAGATATAGACATGAGAAAAAGTCTACAGGCAAGCAATGCCTCAAAGATGAGGGGTTTTTTTTTCTAAAGATAACTTCAGATCCCCATCAATTTTTTCATATAATTTATTTCATTGAGTAACCCAGTCTAGTGGAGTTAATCATTTCTCTCTGAAGTGATGAAACTGATTGAATTATTGTGGTTCGCGACTTCTTCCTCTCGTCTTAGATAAAGTTTTGGATCTGACCGCCAACTCTCAATGAGGTATCGCCGCTCGCATAGAGTCAGAAAAACGGAGGCTGTTGTTAATTACGTTAAAAATTACGGCAGTAATTATGAAAACACGGGTCGTAACTGAACTAAATGAGCAATCGAACAGACATGACATTCACACTGAACCTTGGCGTGATATTTCAGGCACATCAAAGGGCCTCTGATAAGGACATTTCTCCCATGAAACGAGGTCCGCCGATATGCGCAGAATTTATCAGTCCAAGACTACTTCATGGCTCCATCCAAATCATGTAGTCACGATAAAACTGACAAAAACTGAAGATAGAGGGAGAGAAGTTCATTTCTAAATTACAAGTCTAAATGGGTCATTTCATCCCGTAGGTTGAATTAATTTATGAGATTAACTTTCTTTCCTTCACCGTATTTTTATTTCCTTTGACATTTACTACCCTTCATGTGTCACAGAAAAGTTCAAGAGCACAGAGTCATGTCATATTTTTAATCCTACTTCTATATACAAACCTGTGTGTATGTATATACATATACACACACACACACACAAGCACTTATCCACATGCAGTATGAGAGTCCTGACTGACAAAGTGAAAGGCTCAATAACTGATTGTGGCAAGAGGGTCTGAGTGGCAGAGCAGTAGGCAGAGTGTATCGGGTGGTGGATTAATATGGACTGTAATTAGATTATATGTCTTAATCTGATTTTCATTAAGAGCAAAACTGGGAGGCCTAATTGTGAGGAGAGCATTAAGGACTAATATCTATTAAAACTCAAAATTGGAGTGGGATTGGAAGCCCTTTCTGACAAGTGAAGCATGGAATGAAATTATATGACACCTTATTAGGTGTAATGGAGGGGACTGTGACTGTGAGCGGAGATCATTTCACTCACAGGAAATGGAAATGAAAATAAAAACAGCATGACAGAAAAAACAAGCAGAGTGACTGGTGGGGTAAAAATAGGCTTTGAATCCAAATGAGCGGCGGCGGGCTTTAGAAAATAAATGTTAGCGTAACTTCTGAGTGTCACGCAAAGTGTCTGCGTTTTCACTTCGGCATAATCTGAACACTGCTTTTAAAATTGATAAAAATCATACGGATGTGTGCGAAATGATTTTTAGATTTTTTTTCCCCACAAACGCAGCTTCATTTAAAGGCATTTTTTCCGGTCTTTATAAATTGGACAAGACTACTGGCTTCTGGTAAACAACAACACCTCACACCGACTGGTTGTGTGTACAAAGCATGAAAGTGAAATTAATCGACACCAGTGTTTTCCATAATGGGGAACAAATTAGAATATGGCAGCGACAACAGCAGCAGCGCCGAAGCCATGTATTTGCAATGACAAATAACAAGGGCTTGACATTAATTGTGAAATAACGAGTGTGGCGTTGCTGTAACAGAGACTCCCCGCCCTCTTGCCCGTGTTACCGGTGGAGAGGGCCGCGACGAAATTAGTTCCTGGTCAGGTGTACAACAAAGGGAGCCTGTTTCAGCATTGTACGCTGATGGTAGAACATGACAAGAGGTCAGACAGGGGTTTCTTTTGCGCTGGTGGATCGACAAACGCCATAAGCTGTTTTACAGCGCGCGGCAGGCCCGCTTGGATGTGATGCTCACCCAGATTTTTCTGTCTAAACAGATGTAGTAGCTGCAGAGGTTTACAGAGAAGAGTCTGTAGATGGGGGGGGGGAAGTTTCTTTGAATATGTTTATGTTCAATCTCAAGCTTTATAAAGTAGCAAGAATGCACTACATGGCTCAGCTGTTGTTGAAAATGTGTTTTACTGTAATGTATAAAATGCATAAAAATGTGTAAAATGTCCATTAAGCTGTGAATGCTCTTCATGGTACATTAGGATCCTGGCCCTACTGATATCCCCCAATAATGAGTGTGATTTAGTGATTTCACGCTTTGTTTGTCCTCCCTGGCCCACTGCCCCTCTCTGGATCCCCCTCGTACACAGGTGTATTGGCTCAATGTAATGAGATCATTACCAGCCTCGTCAGTAAACGTGTTTATTTGGCAAACGGAGCCGCCTGCTCCTTCCCTCTCTTGATCTGCATCCAAAGAGGCATTTAACTAAAATAAGCTCTGCAGTACAATTGGGCAAACAGAAGTCGGTTCAGATCATTACAAGACCTGTGGGTAAACATGTCGGGTTCCCACAATCCCCTTTTCCAGAGCTGCTCGAAAGACCATGAGAGAGAAAAAACATGATTATGAACAGAGTACATATCGCCCAAACTCATCATTGAGTTACAAGGTGTTTTTAACTGAAATTGCATTTGGGCTATTTATGAGGCAATTAATAAACATAATAAGTATGGTTTTTATTATTATGTTTATTGCTGTTTATTTCTGTCTTCTGTTTGATTTATTTTAGTTGGTAAAGCGTTTAGAAATTTGTAGATTTTGTAACAACTTGCCACAATCACCTTCATGTGACCCGACACTGCACTGTTACACGGCTTTATCCCACGTGCCCATCTCATCCCAGTTACTATAGATATTATATAACACATGCAGTATGTTTCTAAAAACAATAAGTTAATAAGCGCCATCTATTTCACTTTTCAACATAACTGTGATATACATAAACAGATATTCATATTCTATATTTCACACATTTTATTCTATTTTTCACAGTGAGGTGAATTCCTTAGTTAAAAAAAAAGAAAAAGTAGTATTTGATAAACAACAGAAAAATTATTTGACTGTCAACTAATTATTTGAGCTCTAGTCCAAATATTAGTCCAAAACAAATCTTTAACCTCCTAGAACCTGGCGTCCACATACGTGGACATCACATTTTGGGTTATTTAGACCAAAATACTCAATTTTGCTCTACAAGGGCCTGATATCCACTTACGAGGACATTATACTGCTTTTGTTCTATCAAAATTGTAAATGAATATCCTCATATGTGGCTCTCATTTTTCTCAGACACAAAAATTAGGTAAAAAGAAAAAAAAAAATCTGGTAATTCTTTGTTTTTACATTCATCGGGTCCCAATCAGCCCAAATATCAAAGAGAAATTAAAAATGCATGCCGTGAAACAGTTCGGGTCTTAGGAGGTTAATATATGCATGTGTATCTAAGAAAGCAAAGAGTGGCCAGATTTGAGAGACATCTTCAAACTCCTGACCATCTCTGATGTGATGAGTGCACCTGTTCCTGCGGTTACCGTGTATTTCTTGCCCAAGAAGTGAAGAAGGGGACAACTCCCCCGCTCTTTCTGACTTTTAAGATCCCCTCTAATTCCCCTCCATTAGTCCAAGAGGAGGGAGATGTCACCCCAAAAGTGGAATGTATGGTTAGTAATTACAGCCCAAGGTTGAGCTGTTCCAGGTGAGAGCACTGGAGTGGTTCTATTACCCCTCCCTATCCCCTCCTGGCTCCCCCACCACCCCCACTACCACCTCACCAGCCATGCAGCCCTATCTAGCACCCGCCTACCCACCCACCCAGCCACCAACCCCCCTTTTCTTTCTCTGACCCTCTGTGTCAACCTCCAACTCCCAACACAATCTTTCATCATGGCCTCACAACACACTGGACACCCCTGGTCCTCCAGCAGTCAGCCTCACAGAGCGAGGAAGGAGGACAGTACAGCTGATAAACACATAGCGCACCAAATCACAAACGTGTACAATGATAAACACAAACCCCAGAGGCCTGCTCATGCACACATAGCTGCTGAGCATTAGGGCTATTTTCATCACTGTCATCAAAATCCCCCCCGCATTCCCCCATCATGTAACTTTCATCCCCCTCATCATGTGCAGACTGTAAACTCGATAGGTCTATAAACTACTTGACTACACACAATAACCCAATGCCCCTTCATTTTATTTTACCTACAGCCTTTAAGCACATATATGTATTCCATCCTCTCTTTCTCTAACCACTTCAGTTCCATTATATTAGAGCTGTAATCATTATTGAACCCTGCTAGCCTCCAGCATTATACTCTCTGCACGTTACACCAGTTTGGGTCTGCATAGCAAATTTCATCTAAGGTTAATAAAGTTGAATAATTTGACTAACCAACCGGAACTGCTTCTTATTACGTAGCCAATAAACACATTCATCAGTGAGAATATGAAATGCCCGATGAAAAAATAAAAAATAAAACTTCCCTTTGATTTCCTCGGCGGTTCAGTTCACAAGTTGATACGGAGAAGGCAGCGCAGGACACTGGCCGGCCATTCACCCGGTGGACACACACACACACACACAATGAAGACTTAATATAAACACAGATGCACTCTGGATGTCATCTAAACCACACGTAGTCACTGAGAGATGCTCAGAGACAAAAAAACACACACACACACACACACACACAGACGCCACACACCATCCTCACCAGGAACATCTTTTTATCCATCTAATTCCTCCCACTATGAATAATGCATTTCCCTCCTTACTGAGGCTTGGGTTTAACGCATCGCTGCACGGGTCTTTAAGGAGGTCCTTATTCATAAACAGTAGTGCAGTAAATACCAGAGCTTTGCAACCAATTTAATGGCAGTTATGCTTAACAAATCTGCCTCAATCTAATGATCAGCCACAAAGCTAGGCTATGGGTTTAATCTGCACACAGAGGCTCCCGCAGCTCTGCGACTCACTGAATATGCTTAGGGATCTCTCCATCCAGAGAGAGGAGAGCACCAGCCTGACACTTAATCCTCACAACACAACACTGGGATCAACACAACTATGGAACATTGTTAGTCTTTCATGAATAAGAATAACATTGAAAGTCCTAAAACACTGCAGAGACAATGCATAGAGAGACTAAAACATTACGAAGCGCTCCTTTTTTAAATCCATGCTATTCCCCGTCTGGACATCCTAAGTCTTTTCTGCTTCTTATTCCTACATTGACCCTGCGCCTTAACAAGAAGACCACGCGGAATTTAGTGCATGCATTTAGACTGAGTAAAGCTTTGCAACTGTATGCACTGCTCAACAGCAAGACTCTCCACAGAAGGTGCAAAAAGTTCAGATATGAAACACGTCAACACTGAAAAGCAGAATAAATAAAAACTTAATTTCAAACTCATAATTTCACTTACTGAATAAAAAATTATAATCTGTGAGAACTTTTTGAAAAATAAAGAGATCTGCATAAGTAAAAACCACACTTGAATAAGTGTTTTCTTTCTTTTGTGCACCACACATGCTGAGCTGGACTAATTTAAAAAAAAGCAGGACCATTTGAGTTGAGTAAGACAGGAGGCGGATATGTTATTTCTGACCACTATTAAACATATGTCAACAAGTCACCTGAGAGACTGATGACCCTCCCCAGGTATTTGGACACATAAATGTCCATAAAAACAGTTCCCAAAGGAGCTGTCACTGGGTAAATAAGACCACGTGTCCTGAGAGGGAAAATAGAAATACATTTTTGTGCAATGTTGTGCAGTTTTATATTTAAAAAGCAAGTATCCTCATTCTGAACCCAGTGGGGGCTAGAGACATCAGGACAATGGCCCTTTAAGGACAACTGTTCCATGGACCCCTGGCCAGTAAATAACCTGAGAGTTAGTTGATAGGGGCGAATTAGAGCCAGAGCAGTACTGTGTAATGGGGATGGATAGGAGGCTCAGGCTTGGGTCAAAGCCGCTTAGGAATCAATGCAGAGGTACAGGTGTACAACCACAGGTCTATACGAGTAAGAAAACCTTTAAAAAGAAGGAGGAGGGAGGGAGACGGAGACGAGCGGAGGGGGGGGAAACAAACTACAATCATTCATTTCCATTATCACAATTAAAAATTGCCATTCGGGTTGGTACTGGTTTTTAATTTACAAAAGAAAGCAGAGAGAGGAAGACTAATGTTGTAAAGCGAGCGCAGTGATCACACTGGCAAGACAAACTGCATCACTGTCTCGCCTCCCAGCACTATTGCAGTGGAGCTTGAAGACTGGTCACAAAAACAGGAGGCGGTAATATTTCATGCATAAATAATGTTATATATGTGGTTTTCATGTTTATGTGCATTTGAAACTAAATTAAAATATTTTAATGTAAATTTTTGGAATTAATTAATATCCTACCATTACTAATAAAAATGTCACATTTCCTGTGGAGGAATTAAGCACTACAGGAATTGGAAATAGCCTTGACACTTGGATTAAAACACTACTGATGCCATTAAAATGCTAAGTGGGTCCAACCAATTGGCATAACCACATTTCACTAAAGGAATGTCAAAGGAGTACATGAGAAGTAGCAATTACTATTAGAATACTGTTAATTATAGCTGCTGCATATTTAATATGAGCAAAACAAAGGTTATGTTAATATGGGTTCTAATAAGTGTTCATGCACTATATAGTGTCAGTGTATTACCACTACTTGATGCAGTCTTTTGTGAAAAACTGCATTTTTTCCAGCATTTTTTTTTATTAAATATATCACAACAAATGTTGAATGAGGATTATCTTTTTCATTATATAGTGTTTTTTTTTTTAATTAAGGAAAAAATAAGTACATGTAAAACAGCTAATATGATAACATTTTTTAATATCAATAGCATGCACATCACAGACCTCCTGTGCCCTCTTGTGGAGAAAGCTATTAGTAATTTTCTCCATTCATCCTATACAATTATCGCTCAGGCCAAATATCGGATGTATTTTAGAACTAATCCTCTATCCGCGTCTAGTGAAAGCAATACATTTGGAATGAGAGGCTTATGCACTTTTAACCTCTGATGCCTACAGTCGTTCTGCAGCCATACATCTTCACGTTTTCTTTATTTTGATAATTATCCTTTAGTATCTGACTCACACTACACTTTGTTCTGGTAATCATAGGCATTCCCATTTTAATGTTGGCGTTTTTCAGTTCATTACACTTGTTCTGGGTACAGATTTTCTGCATTTCACATGTTCATGTGCATTTTCCTTTGACAGATTTCATAGTAAAATTATTACTTTTTTAACTATATGTAGAAGTAATCCTAACCCAAAACATTTAAAAAATAATAATTTCTTGGTAATAATGTTTTGATGGATGTCAGTTATATTTTTAATTGATGTTTGTTGTGAGTCTTTTAATTCAGAGACAAAGAAAAAGAAAAATAGGTTGAACAGATCTTGGTTTAGTGACGATCACAGGTTTAATGGAAATACAGTCATCAGAGGTCATTTGATACAAGCCAATTATTATTATTATTATTATTATTATTAAGTGCTGAAACTGCCTATTGATCAGCTAACGAGTGTCTATTGTGTGTGGCAAGAATCTGAACCTCTTGAGACCTGAGCTATTTTTAATTTCCCCTAAATTTGGGGCATTAGCTGGACCCAGTAAGTATAAAAACTAAGCATCATCTTTGAACAGAAACTCTTTTAATTAAGAAAAAAACTGTATGCCCTCATACGGGTGCAATGGGTTTATATTACAGAGAAACACAATAAAGTCACCATTGTTTAAAAAAACGTATAAAACACTTTTTAAGTATAAAGTGCAGTGTCCACATGAGGACGCACAGTCCCAGGAAACTAAACAATAAATCATTTTCATTTGTGTTACTTTTTAAAAACTGTGTTCTCTTAATGTGTGTAAAGATAAAAGACAGAAGAACATCAGGGTCAGGCAGGCATTTAAGTTCACAAGCTTCTTCCCTCAGTGAAGGTCCCCAGGCTGCTGTAAATCTATGTAATACAGTGCTGCCTTGCTACATCTCATATCACACACATACACAGATACACAGAGTCACACACTCCCACACACAGTGCAATTACATTGCAGGGACTTTCGTTGGGACAAAGAATTTGAATATAAAGACAATTAACGATTTTATGTTTATTTGATTTTCCTCATGCTGTCATTATCTATCTCGAACAAAGAAGCGAGTCTGAACAAATGGCCAGGACTTGTGCTAATTTAAACTAAAGGAAAGAGGAAATAAATTTGTTTCCAGACCATTATATAGTGAGCCATGCATTTGCTGGGTACAAATGGACACCATTCATTACAGTTAACAATGACATCCAATTCAGCCCTGCTAATGAACTTCAATACAGTCATGTTCGGTATTAAGGAGTGATTTGTTGAGTCTAAGTGTATCATTTTGGAGGCTAATGTTGATGAATGCCCCGTTGTGAAGAGATGGGGACATGCAAGGAGTAGAGACAGTCTTGGCAAGCACCCTTCTGTTATAGCATAATACCATATCACCACCTAGTGGTGTCATCACAGAAACACACATTACTGCAGATTGATGGTTCCAACTTTTCAGAACGTTTGTCAGACAAAAGAAAAAGATAAATAAACATTAAGCTCACCAATGCCCACATTGCCTCCGGTAATGAGGACAACCTTGTCAGAGAGGTCACGACCCTGCAGGATCTCGAGAGCAGCAGTGTTTCCATCGTACCGCTTCGGCTTCACCACCACATCCTCTACTGTAAATGCATGACGTGGATCAAAATATGTGCTCCGCTTGTTAATGTGACTGAAAATGACAGAGGAAAGCAGGAATGAAAGCAGCAACGTAGTTTTATTGCAGTCAAACATTTCCACAAATATAAGGGGTTTGATCATAAGTCTTCTTACTCAATGTAAATTATCTGTCCTTTTTCATCAGTTTCCTGCTCCCAACCATATGGTAAGTCTGTAGAAAAAGACAGAGATTTATTATTCTTTAATAGAAAAAGTTTGTAAAAAAAAAAAAAAAAGTGTATATACATTTCAAGCCAAAACTGAATTCTATGTCCTGTTTCATTAATTTTTTAACTGACTGCTTAGCTACTGGCCACTGCATAAAAGTTGTGTGGTTGACAATACTCCAAATAACCAAGTCCAAGTTAGAGAAATATCAAATAATCTCAGCTTTGCATACATGTGAACAATTCTCCAGGGAAAACACAAGTGAGTAAAGCAAACCTCCAGCACAACGTTTCTTCTTTCCTGTCTTGGGGTGTTCCCACTGTGTCTTCATCTCATCATGACTGTTGGCACAAACAGAGATTAAGAGTGAATGAAAAAAAATAATTTTCTTTACAATATACAGCTGTGGTCAATAGTGTATTTACACTCATCATGGGCATGAATGTCATGGAAATTTAGGGATTTTAATTATTTCTTTGAACTATTTTTTTTCCAGGGTGGACTAATTATACAGTATGCATCTTTAATGCCTTTTTATATACAGGATGTATATCCTTTGCCAAAGTCTGGAAATAGACCCAAACTGTTACCCTCAATGAGATAAAATTTGTTAGAATAATCAGGACCAACCCAGGAACCACCAAGTCAAGTCAAGTCATCTTTATTTATATAGCACATTTAAAAGACATCAAGTGTCGGCCAAAGTGCTGAACAGAGGGATAATATAATAAAAAGAATTAAAATAGATAAGATGAAAATATTATAGAAACCTTGTGAGACATCCATATATGTTTGTAAAGAGCATATGTGTACATGCAAATATGCACATACATATACAAAAATGTACACATTCACACACAAGCACACATACGTGAACATAAAATACATGTATACGTGTATACACATGCAAACACAAAGACTAAAGCATGCCATGTACTGGAACCTGCTGGTACACCAGCATCACTGTCCACAGTGAAGTGAGTTTTACATCACCGTGGCCCAAGAGGGTGCCAACCAAGAAAGAAGCCACTGCTCCAGAATCGATAAGCCAATTGCCTTCTGGATAAAAGAGACAAAGATTGAGCGTTTTGATCACAATGACCAGAGGTATATTTTGAGCAGTAAATGTGGTGCTTTTAAACCTGAGAGCACTGTACCAGCTGTCACGCATGGTAGTGGTAGTATCATGTTCTGGGGCAGTTTTTTTGCCAATGGTGCTGGTACAGAGGTTGGATAAACTCATCAGGAAGGTTCTGCGATGTCCCCTGGACCCAGTGCAGGTGGTGGGAGACAGAAGGAGTCTGGCCAAAATAACATCTCTGATGGTCAGCGTCTCCCACCCCATGCATGTAAATGTTGCTGAACTGCAGAGCTCCTTCAGTGACAGACTGCTGCATAAAAACATCTATGTTTCATTTTACGCTATCGTTTGTTTCGTGGTGTCGCAAAATACACTGTTTACATATTTTTTCATCGTTTTGATGGTCACTGTAGTGGCTATATTAATTTCTTAAAGTTCTCTCTTTCTCTTATATTTTATATAACCACACTTCAGACGGACAAGCGCCTGCTTTTATGCGTTGTCGTTAGCAACAACCACGGTAACAGCATCGCGCGTCCGCTTGTTTATGTTCCACATAAACCTTTCACAATAAAGCTCAAGATCCTGTTGAGACTTTTCAAAATAACCTGAATCACGTGAAAGAGCAGATTATTTACGGATGAGAATTAAAAAAGAGCCGCCAGGTGCTAAAAAATAAACCTTAGAATAAAACGTTAGAACAGGCTTTTCCCCGCAGCACGCCGTGTAATAAATACTCACAAAGAAAACGGCGGCCGTTACAACTTATGTCTAAAAATGTATCGTTTCATGCATTGGTTAAAACACTCGACTCCAGCTACATGACGCGCAGCTGGAAACACTTCCCGCAAGACGAGCTGCCCGAGATTCACAGAATTTACAGAAAATGTTACATTTGTGTGATTTATATCGTTATTTTTTTTTATAGAATTCTTATATCGGGATATGAGATTTTGGTCATATCGCACAGCCCTACTGCTGCATCCTAGATGCATGAAGGAGCATTTCTGCAGGTCCTCCCTCCCTACAGCTGTCAGATTGTACAATCAAAACTGCTCCCAACAAACATAGAAGTTTACATCAGCGCTGTAACTTGCACTATTTTATCAACCGATTCACACTACAACCTGGGTTTGCCTCTCATCTGTAATTAAATTAATTACATTAATTTAATTTTAACAACTGTACAGTACTCTGTTTTTGGTCAACTATTGTCCTATATGTGTTTTTCTTGCTGCTGTTACAACAAAATTTCCCCTTTTGGGACAATTAAAGGATTGTTCTATTCTATTTTACACTCCACAAAGTGGACTGAATAATGAAGGAATACTAAATCCAAATTTTTCAACTTCATGTCAAACCAGCCATTGCTCCCAAACACATCAAAACGTGTTTTTTTAAGAGATAAACCAGGCTAACACTAAGGCTCTAGAATGACATTCCCAAAGCCTGACCACTAATCTACTTAAAATTTGTAGACTATGTTTAAAAGCCAGGTCTGTGCAAGGAAGCTAACCAATTTAAATGAACTCTACCAATTCTGCCAAGAAGAGTGGTCAAGTATCCAGACAGGATCTTGTTGACAGCTACCAAAAGTATGTCATTGAGCTGTTACTTGCTAAGTTTTATATATTGAACATATTTGAACCAGGAAGTAGATTTTTGACCTTGTGTGGATTTGAGAAAATCCTAAATAAATTCAAACAGTTCAAAGAAATCAGCAAAAGCCCCACATTGACTCCATGACTCCTTATGTCCAAGATGAGTGGAGATTCTGGTCGATATTGTCATGATAGCATCACAGCATCAGACAGTTGCTATAGATTTTTCAGCTGCACATCCAAAATGTACATTTCTAATGCATTATCCCATTACTGAGGAGGGTTGTGATTTTATATTTCAGCGTAAGTTTACAGCATGGCAGCTAGTGGATAGTGACACTACAGCAGGATAATTCGAGATGACAAACTCACAGACTTATCAAAGACTAACAACAATTAGCACAAACCCTACAGTGAAATAAGGACGGCACACTTTATAACACAGACTTTACAGTGTAGCTAGCAGGCTGTGTTAGCCAGGTGCTAATAGAAATGGCATAGCCCTGATGTCAGTAAGTGTTAGGACTTATACTTATACTCATACACAGACATGCTTGCTGATAGCGTTAATGGTGAGATCTCACTTACTTTGCATAGTAGACCCAACCATCTTTAGTAGACCTCTCCTCCCATCCAGGTGGTAACTCATCCTCACTATCTGTATCGTCCATACCGGCGTACTTCAGAGCTGCCATAGCTTCCAGTGAATGACGAAAATCAGAGAGAAATATCTGCTCTGGAGAATGAATGCAGATGTCAGAGAGCGCAGAAACACGGACACGGCGATCTTCCAGCACTTCCGCAACAACACGATGACGACTGCCGAACTGCATTTTGGGACATTGAGGCGGTAGACCATATGCTGAAGGATCCGGCTTTTTGTGATTCAAATGTTTCCGAAAAAAAGATGGCAGCCAGAAGCCAGAACTAAGTCGAAATTTCGAGTTACTGTCTCAAGTTTAATATCGTTGGGGTTTGTTTTTTTCATAAGCTTAAAGGCTTTATGTTAGAGAACACTGGCTGGGTTTTCTCTCAGCCTTTGATCTGGGTATATAAATTTTAAAGCTAGTAGGAGAATAATGTTGGGAGATGTTGGAAGTGGGCAGATAGAGCTGCTGATTTATGTAATCAGATAACTCAGGCCCACTGAGTTATCTACACAGCTAAAGTTTTCTGATTTTTTTTAATCTCCTCCAAATCCTTTTATTCTACACTAATTAATCACCTTTCCTGTCATAACTACGCTTCTGTACACTTTTCAGACATCTATCAACCAAAGAGGTCACCATGCAGTTGGGCATGTTTTACCAGTTTTACCTTTCCTGTCTATTGTAATAGAAAAGTAGCCTACAGACTATCCAAGAGGGCCAGAGGAAATCTGAACAGATGACAGCCCTAAACCTATTGGGGACAAAGGTAGCATTAAACCACCTCATTAACTAGTCAACACAGTGGAATGACACGTAACAACTAACAAAAGCGAATTAGTTAGAGCTATTCCGCCTCTAAATGTTCACATGTTTAAATAAAAACAATAAATGAGATATAAACAGGTTTCAGATATAGTTAAATTAAAATAAATTAGTTGTGTTCTGTGTTTTTTTTCCATGCCTTGAAATTCGACAACTGCCAATGTGACCTAACCAGTACAGCTGTTCCCATCAGCTCAGTAGCTCTTTTGTATGCAAAATCTGTGGCCGTCTCTTGCTTCTCTTATTCCTGCCACTTGACCTGCCTGTTGTGTCTGTTAACCAGTTTGTGCACTTGTTACATGTGTCTTGTCCATCTGCAGAGTCTGTGTTTTCCATAGAATGGCTGCGAAATTTCTGTGGAATAGCGCACTGTTGAACTGATAATAAAAATGTAAAACAGCACAATAATCACAGTGATGTACTGAACTGTGGGATGACGTAATCTAATTTCATAAAGGATGATCCAGTACATCTTATACAAAAGGAGATAAAGAAAAGGAAACACTAAAACACTTGATCCCTAAAGGATTTAGCGGGACTGTGCCTCAAAGTCTGTGGATATGGAGATAGGGATTAGGCCATATAGACTCAGAACAAGGTGTTTAATTCCTGTTTCAAGTTTCAATATGTTTTGGTCAAGCTCTGGTGCCACTCCAACAACAGCACCAAGAGCAACAATTAGGATTTATAAGGAGCTATTGGCAGGGAAAGAGAGATTTTGTATGCTCATTGCATGAAACGCTGCAGTTTGGAAGGAGGCCTGTGTTGCCCTAGCCCAGACTGCACCACCCAAAGAATGTCTTGAAAACAGTTCCAGGCAGCCTGCCTCTAACAAAGATTCAGGTCAGAAAATGTGGTTGTTCTCAAATCAAATCAAATCAAATCACTTTTATTGTCACATCACATGTGCAGGCACACTTCTCTGATAATATCTAGATGAAACTTCCCAGGACCATTTTAAGAGACCATCACCCATCTTTCAGTGTTTCCCAGTTAAAACATAGATCATGTAGTGCACTGTTCCCTGTTTCCAAATCCTTCCACCTGATTGTTTCATAATTTGCCTTCACTGTCCAATGTCGGATGTGCACTGCCACAGCCACTACTCAGTGGAAGGGGTAGTGACCATGGCCAACTTATCTTAGTTGCCAGCCAGTCATTGCCATCTTCAGCATCATTCACTAATGTGTTTCCCCCTGCGTGGCAGCTCTATATTCAAAATCGTTTGTCCGATAAATCCACACAGCCACACTCCTATCTGTATACTCTCTGCTCCACTCAGCCACTTGGTTATTCACTCCCCATTGCTTTCCGCCTTCCACCTCCCAGAGAACTTGATAGGTTTGTAGCTTAAACTTATTCGCTGGAACGTTGAAGACAATTTAATTACACAGCAAAAGCAAGACACGAGTAGGCAAAGTTCTTTATGTTTCTCGTGCACGGGAGAGAACTGGACAAACGCCGTCCCTTCACTTGACCCCAGTTGCTCTCGTCCGCTCCCCCGTAACACTGCTCTTTTATTGAGGTTACATAAATATAAATAGGATCTTTAACATATGACGTCTTCATACACACAAAGAGTACCTTTGCCTGTGCGTTGTGTAAGTATGTGTGTGTGTGTGTGGGGGGGGGGGGGGGGGGTGTCAGTGTGTGACCCCATAAACGACTTCCCTGAACCTGCTGGTCTGGAAGTCCAGCAGTTCATCTAAACAAAAGGCACTTAGACATAGACAGATATACGTGTGTTTGCTATACCATATATCAGTAAGAGCAGATATAACCTCTCTCCTGACCTTAAGTTGTGTGTGCATGCCAGAGTGCTCTGGGAGGCACACAGAGTTTCCACAGACTACTAAGGATCAAACCTCTACCAACATGACATTGATTATTAAACTCTAAGCATATATGAGTAGATATTTCTAAGCATAAATGACAATCCACTATACAAACCTGACAGAACTCCTACTCCTTCTCGCACCTACTCCATTACATTCTCCTCCTTAAAATAAAAATAAAAATAAAAAATTTAATGAAACCTTTCTCTTGAACAGATTTTGTGCTCTCCATTCAAACCACTGAAACTATTAAAAGTTATTTAGTCTTCTTTCGATTGCTTCATTTGAAGGTCACCACAGCATATTGTCTGCCTCCATCTAACCCTAGCCTTGGCATCCTCCTCTTTCACTCTCCTCTATCTGTTAACCTCTTGCATGTCCTCCTTCACTAGATTCGTGAATCTTTGTGGTTTTCTGGTTTTCCTCCTGCCTTGCCTACTCCAACATAGCCCCCATCCCTCCTCTGTGCATCCCAAACCACGTCAGCCTTGATTCTCTAGCTTTGTCTCCAAACTGCTCCACCTGAGCTGTCCCTCTGATGTACTCATTTCTAATTATGTCCATTCTAGTCAGTGAAGACCTTAACATCTTAAGCTCTGTCACCTCCAGCTCAGGCTTGTATCTTTTTGTCAGTGCCACTGTCTCCTAACCATACACCATGGTAGGTCTCACTACCATCTTGTAAACTGTCCCTTTCAGTCTTACTACGATTTTCTGTCACAAATCACTCCTGACACTCATCTTCACTGACGTCATCGTGCTTGCTGCCTTATGCTCACCATGCTTGTGTGCTGTTCATTGCTTTGGATGCTTTACTTCAGATATTGAACAAATGTTGCATGATGCAAGAAAAAGGTATATTCCTTATAATGACCTAGTTTTTAGTCTGTTTGAGCTAGCTTTTATAATGAAGTACTGTTAATAATAATATTTTTTAGCTTTTTCAACAGTATTTTGTTAGGATTGGGGGAGGCAATATCAATATTGATTTTGACTATTGAGCTTCACAAAATAAATGTTACTGTATTGTAAAATCAATATTGTGATACTTTGCTTGGTGATACAGTATCAATACAGAGACAGTAAATATTGATATTGATATGATGCAACCTTACTGCATCTACAAAAAAATCTATCCATAAACATGAAAAATGAAAAAACAGTGGCTGACTGGTTATGTATTGAATTATTTTACATTCTGTGACTTCTTGCAACTTCTTGTGACTAGATGGTTGCCCAAAGCTCAAGGGTGCTCACAACCCCTTATGATTGCAAGGAGGCAACCTTTGTGCAAACAGTCTCAGTCTGACGAGCAATGACTGCAATCACTTTCTTAGAGATTGTCAAATAATTACTATCTAATCGATAAAAACAGACAGACGTGCCAACATGTTGCCATCAGTCTGAATGAGCCTTTGTAAAATAGAGTCAGACTGACCTGTCTTCATCTTACAGTGTTAGTATGCTTGATATGCTTGAGAGGTGATAAACTGCAACATGTATTATTACAACACTCGGGACATCACAGAATGTTAAAAAATATCAATAATATCATACTGAGAATCAAGTATTGTGATAATATGGAATCACGGGGTATCTGGTGATTCCCACCTTTAATAGTTATACATAAATAAGAAATAAAATTTTGCATATTTTTCAATTTGTTATAAACAACATAAAAAACCTTACTTTTACGGTGTAAGTGAAATCAGGATAAATCTATCTAGGTCACACGAGCTGGTTCAACCTGATGTCATTTATCCTAAAATAAGAACGATCCAATACTCCTTTTCTTCTGATGGCTGGAAATCCTCTATTCTCACTCGGGCCACTGCGCATGCTCTAAGCAAAGAGAGGCGGGCTAGGAGGAGGTGGGTCGACCCGCTGTAGTCGAGTGTTTGTGTGTCGGTGTGTGTGTTCGTCTCAACGTAGCACGAAACGTGTCTCCTCTCAGCAAAGACACACAAACGTGAGACGTGCTAGATAACGTTTTTGGGTTTTTTTTCTTGGTTTTGAAAGTTTTCTTTTTGCCGCCTTAAGATTGTTGCGATTTTATACTATGTATATTAAAACATTCCGCTTGTAAAACGTAATATTTATCCGCCAGGAGCAGCCGACTTCGTTTCTACTAAAGAGTGTCCGCTTCTCCTCCCCTCGATGAAGCGCTGCGATGCCCTCTGATTTTATATCCCTCCTTAGCTCGGATATCGACCTCAATTCCCCCAAATCTCTATACTCTAAAGGTAAGATTTATCTAAAAGAAGGTTACTGTGAGGTCGCTAATCCGTTTTGTCCTTGTCTAATGGGAACTAATATGATTGTCTTGATAGCTCATGTTAAGCTGCTAGCTAGCAATGGTTAGCCTCTTTTCTGCTAGTAGCAAGACTAGCTAGCATAGTTAGTCAGCTCGACTACCCTTGCTGGTTAGTTGTCCATGTCACATGCGTGGAAAAGCATGGTATGTTAGAATAGTAAAGTAAATATAACAACAATTATG